TCCAGGATATTAGGCCTGGACCCGCAAACGCACTTAGGCATTGTGATGCTACCCTTCTAGGCCCCTTGAAAAATCGCTGTGATCCACAGAGCCCGAGTTAGGGCACCCCAGAATGTCACCCACAAGAATCCTGCCCCTCTTGTGGCTTTCAGCACCTAAGTCTGGGCTCCAAGCAGGTCCTGCTCGTCCACAAGGGGAGGCGCCGGGACCGCCCCGCCTCCGAGGGCTGGCCCGCTTCCCATGATGCTCAGCCTCCCCCTCTCCCCCGCCCTTTAAAGTCTCCCACATGCCTTGAAATGCCTTTTCTGGCTTGCCCAGCTTGGCGGGCGCATCTCACCGCTCTCCATGGCCCTGGGCAGCTCCCCAAGCGGCCCTGCCGGCTCCTGGATCAGACGGGAGGTGTCGGAGCGCCACAAAACTCAATGGTGAGAGGGACGCCCCTCTGGCTGCCAGCCCTCTGGTGAGAGCCCACGTCCATCACAGGGGAGAGCCCCCATCTCCGTCTGCCAAGAAGAAGGGATTTGAACAGGGATCGCTGCAGAATCACCAGCCCAATTAATGTTGAATGAGTTAACCCAACAGGGGTGGGACCCGCCTGAGAACGTCCCCCATTCAGAGATTAGGGCGCTCGGCTAAAATACCCGTGTTCAAGTCCTTCCCGTGTCCTGGCCGAGCACCATAACCACTGGGCTAAAGGCAACCCTAGGATCAAGGCCGCAAGGAGCCCCCGGGCTCATCTCGTCTGTATCACACGGGCCGGAGACCGTCCCCAACATCATTCCTAGAGCTGATCTGGTAGAGAAACAGCCCAGCTGGACTGGAAAATGGAGAATTCACCGCGCCCCTTGGGAAACCGACCCGGTGGTTCATGACTCTCATCGTAAAAAATTAACGTCTTATTCCCAGGCGGAATTTGTCCAGTTTCAACTTCCAGCCATTGGATCAAGTTCGACCTTCCTCTGCTGGACGGAAGAGCCTGTTTATAAATATTTGTTCCCCAGGTCGGTACATCCAGGCTGGGATCGAGTCATCACCCCTTTGCCGTCTCTTTGTTCGGCTAACCAGACTGAGCTGCTGGCGTCTCTCGCTCTCAGGCAGGGGCGTTAATCATCCTCGCGGCTCTTCTCTGACCCCTCCCCGGTTTATCAGCATCGACATCCAGGAACAAAGGACAAGGGCCAGACTCACAGGCTGGGGGACTCTCTCCTGGGAAGCAACAACTGGGAAAAAGATTTGAGGGGCGTGGTGGAAAATCAGCCGAACGTCAGATCACAGTGGGACGCTGGGACCAAACGGGAGCCTAATGTGATCCCGGGATGGAGAAACAGGGGAATCTCGAGTCGGAGCAGAGAGGGGAGGGGATTTTCCCTCTGGCTTTGGGACTGGTGCAGCCGCTGCTGGGATCCTGCGTCCCGTTCTGGTACCCGCAATTCAAGAAAGATGTTGCATAGGCGCCAACTTTTCCCGACGCCATGCTCAACCCCCCAGCCCCGCCCCTGCCCCCATTCTAACCCCTTCCCCAAAGTCCCCACCCCAACCCCGCCCCCTCCCTACCCCTATTGGACTCCTTCCCCATATCCCCGCCCCGGCCCTGCCTCTTCCCCCGAGAGTGCCGCGTTTCCCCTCCTCCCCGCTCCCTCATGCTGGGAGCTAGGGGGAGAAGTGGAGCCGCAGCGCGCCCAGGGGAGGAGGCGGAGGCGAGCTCGGGCAGGGAGGGGAGCTGCCGGTGGGTGCAGAGCACCCACCAATTTTTCCCTGTGGGTGCTCCAGCCCCGGAGCACCCACAGAGTCGGCAACTATGGGATGTTGATCAGTCGGGGAGGGGTCAGATGCCTGAGAGTGAGACACCAGCAGCTTGGTCTATTTAGCTCAGGGGTGCACAAACTGGGGGTGGGGACTTCTCAGGGGGTTGTTAGGTTATTATGTGGGGGGGTCACGAGCGGTCAGCCTCCACCCCAAACCCTGCTTTGCCTCCAGCATTTATAATGGTGTTAAATATACACCTCTACCCCGATATAACATGAATTCGGATATACCGCGGTAAAGCAGCGCTCCGGGGGGGTGGGGCTGCGCACTTCGGCGGATCAAAGCAAGTTCGATAGAACGCGGTTTCACCTATAACGCGGTAAGATTTTTTGGCTCCCGAGGACAGCGTTCTATCGGGGCAGAGGTGTATTAAAAAGTGGTTTTCATTTATAAGGGGGGGTCGCACTCAGAGGCGTGGTGTGGGAAAGGGGTTACCGGTACAAACGTTTTGAGAATCACTGATTTAGCTGAACAAAGAGGTGAAGGGGTGACTCAATTCCAGGTGCCACCAGAGGGAACAAATACGTGGTACCAGGCCCGTCAGACCAGCAGACGAAGTTCTCACGTGATCCAATGGCCGGAAGTTGAAGCTCAACAAATTCCACCTGGAAATAAGGCGTCCATTTCTCTACCCTGAGAGTAATGAACCGTGGGGGCAATTCCACAAGAGGGCCCGGTGGATTCTCCGTCACGGGCCGTTTTTCAGTCAAGATGGGCTGTTTTCGACAAGATCTGCTCTGGGGTTGGCGTGGGGAAGCTCTCCGGCCTGTGCGACACGGGGGCCAGACTAGATCATGACCATGGGGAGATGAAAGCCAAAAAGTGCGGGGGGAAGCTGTGCTGGACCACGGAGGTGTTGGGTTATTGTAGGGTCTCTTAGGAGTGCTGGAGTCTGGTTTGTTATGGTAGGGTCTCTCACGGCCGGGTCGTTACGGGGGGGTCTCTTGGCAGCACGGGGGGGGGAGGAGAGGGTTGTTAGCGCAGGTCTCTCGGGACCGGGTTGTTACGGGGGTCTCGTCGGGGCCGAGTCGTTTGTTAGGACAGGTCTCTTGGGGCTGGGTCGTTACAGGGGGTCTCTTGGGGTCAGGTCGTTACGGGGGGGGTCTCGCGGGGCCGGGGTGTTACGGGGGGTCTCTCGGGGCGGGGGTGTTACGGGGGGTCTCTCAGGGCCAGCTCATTGGGGGGGGGTCTCTCGGGGCCAGGTTGTTGGGGGGGGTCTCTCGCGGCCGGGGTGTTGGGGGGGTCTCTCGGGGCTGTGCTGTTACGGGGGGTCTCTGGGGGCCGGGTCGTTACGGGGGGTCTCTGGGGGCCATGTCGTTAGGGGGGGTCTCTCGCGGCTGGGTCATTACGGGGCGTCTCTCGGGGCCATGGTGTTACGGGGGGGTCTCGTGGGGCTGGGGCATTATGGGGGGGGGTCTCTCGCAGACGAGTCATTATGGGAGACGGTCTCGCGGGGCTGGGTTTTCGGGGGGGGTCTCGCGGGGCCAGGATGTTGGGGGGGGGTCTCGCGGGGCTGGGTCGTTACGCGGGGTCTCTGGGGCCTGGGGTGTTGGGGGGGGTCTCGTCGCGGCCAGGGTGTTACGGGGGGTCTCGCAGGGCCGGGTTGTCGAGGGAGGGGTCTCGTGGGGCCGGCTTCGTCGGGGGGGG